AAACAAAACAAAAAAATCATTTCACCATTTCCACATTTTCTGTTATTGTTTTCCCCCCTCATTGAGTAACAGACCTACCCTCTGTTTGGTCTTCCTCTTGCTTCTAATGTATTTGTGTATTTTCTTGTTACCCTTTATGTCTCTTGCTAGTTTAAGCTCATTTTGTGCCTTAGCCTTTCTGATTTTGTCCCTTCATACTTGTGTTATTTGTTTATATTCATCCTTTGTAATTTGGCCTAGTTTCCACATTTTGTAGGACTCTTGAGTTTCAGATCATTGAAGAACTCCTGGTTAAGCCAGGGTGGTCTCTTGCCATATTTCCTAGGTTTCCTACGCAGTGGGATACTTTGCTCTTGTGTCCTTATGTATATGTTTACCTCATTAAAGAATTATCCACTATGGTAGATTCTTCAGTGTTTCCAGTCTAATTTTAAATAACTTAAGCAATGGGTGCTTCTCTACTTTCTTTGTAGTGAAGAGGACTCACTGTTGGACAATTGTCCCTTTCATTGATTTTGAAAGTTACTCTGGAAGGTGACTGAAGGTGTAGAGTTATTTTTGTCTAGTACCTCATTGAGTAAAGAGCAGTAGCTGCTATTTTATTACATTTCTAAAACTAGGATGTTGGGTACTTTGGAACATATTGTGTTTTCATTTGTAAACCAGAAGGCCCTAATACAACCTAAATTTCAATGACAGGGAATGGCCCCTTGTACAGAGCAGTTCTTCCATTCCAGTTTCCGATTACACTCAGCACTCCTCCTTTTCCTTGAATATAAACCTCCTTAGCAGTTTCTTTGTCCGTAATTGTGATATTTTAAAATTAGAAGAAAAAGAATGAGAATAGATTTAGAACAGAAAATGTTGGCTACAAAACTAGTTGTCACTGTGTTGTACAGTTAGGTGGTTATGTTTTTTCCATTAAGACTTTGTTGTACAGGTACATAATGTTGAGTGCTTCCTTTTATGTAATACATAAGTTTCTGAGGTTCATACACTGTCATATTTGTTATAGCTATTTCTTATTTTTAAAGAAACTTACCTTCTTATTGACCAAGATACAACGCTCTTTTAGTTTGGGGATGCAGTGGAGAGTTAGCTGCACAGACAAAAAATGGCTAAGGTTTAGGAAGACTAAACACCGTACTTGTCTGTAAGGCTAACAGCAGTCTTTGAAGGTAATGTCTTTCGTAAAATCCTTCATAAAGTTAATTTTTTTACTTTATAAATAAATATTTGGTGTGTTTTCATTTTAATGAATTGCTTCTGCCAATGGATAGACTATAGGTCATATTCTAAGCTGTCCTTTTATCTTGAGGGCATATAATAATATGAACCACTCAGTTTCTGAAGTGATTAGAAAAGTCATTGCATACGGAACCTTAATTTTTAGTTTTAGGAATCTATTTTATATTTTGCAAGCAAACATTAAAAAAATGCCTCTCCAAGGTTCCAAGTACCCTGGCCATCAATTTACAATACACTTCATAATCAAATAATTACAAAGCAAGGCAACATCTTGCTCCCCTGTGTGCAACCACTATTCAGGAGGGGGAGAAAAATCACAAACTAAAATCTTTCCACCTCTTGAATTCCCAGTAATAGTATCATCAAAAAGATGAGCTATCTATGCATTGTACTTGGGAAGTTAACAGTGCAGGGCAAATTTGTAGACCAACCTGGAGGAGTGAATTCTGAAGTAGAGGGGCATTCACAGAGAATGCATGTGTGTGTTTAAACTACATAGCTTCACTACAGTTAGTGCTGTATGATTTCTGGTTCATACGAAATTTTTTACTTTAACATACACAAATATTTTCTAGCAAGTTAACGGTTATATTTATGACTTTGGGAACAACTATGCATCATCAACCATTAATAGAAAATTTAGAAATTGTTTGAAGCATGAATGTAGTTTGCAGCAGTTTTGAAGTGTCTGAAACATTAACTTGTTAACATTTTAAATTAAAGTGACAGAATATCATGTAGTGAATTAATAAAGTCTGAGGAGTTCTCCCAGCTGTTGTGATTCAGAGTGGAGAAATTATATAAATGGGAAAGCTCTTGAACAGATTAATTTTTATTTAAAACTGAATTCATACAATTCATTTTAATAAAGTGATGCCACCTTTTTAAGGTTTGGGAGGTAGCAATTTAAACCTCATTACTTTTCTCAATTTTATCACCTGAATTACAGATCATAAAGTTTTAATTCACTTTCTGGAAATGGATAGTTTTCTAAAAACATGACTTGATTCAACACTTGCTTCTTATGTAGTCAAAAGGGGAGTTTATCTTGAATAAATAAAAAACCTAAGGCTCCAATCCTGTGACTAGTTATGCACAGCCAGAACCCTTCACTTTGATCTCAACAGTGAGGCTGGATGTGGGCTCAAGGGTCGACCAGGGCACAGTCAGTTATAAGATCAGGGCAAAGTGCCTAAACTTGATTTCAGAGACATGGTGTGTATTGCTCTACTAGACTGGGCAGCTTTAGATACAGTACCAGGCACGTAGGAGGATTTACACTTCTGAGCCATGGAAGCAGAAATTGACTTCTTTTCCAGATTTAGCTAATATTCAGAAAGGGAATCCAGCACCTGCCTTCCAGATTTGAACACCCTCAAAATTCAGGAGTGCTCAAGCTCAATTTGGGCAGCTGTTACTTCATTTCTCCCAAATCAAATATACTGATCCACTGTAACTTGCTGTAGAAAAAGTAGAATAAATTGAGCAAGAAATGCTTCCCAGTGGTTATTAGGACTGGAATTGCTATTTTCAACAGCCATTGCTTTTTTTTTTTTTTTTAGTTTTAGTTTTATTTGTTTAAAAGGAAGACAGTGATATTGCATTGGCAAATTCCCCATAGAAACAAAGCATGGAACAAAAGAATAATACCTCACCTCAACTTTTCCTCATTTATGTAGGACAGTCTTGTAGTATGCATTTATGTAGGACAGTCTTGTAATAGTCTCCAATCACACAAGCTGAAAATTATTCCACTTTACTGCAGTTCTGTAACCATATGGGAACCAATCCTGTCTGTGTTCTGTGCACATCCAAAATTCCTGCTGAATTACCCGCCCTGGGAGCGAGTTGCCAGTGACCCAGGGCTGGGGTGGCAGGAGGGTGCAGTTGGGGAGGGGGGGGGAGAGAAGAGAGAGAGCCCAGGGCTGGTGGGGGGGGGGCAGCCAAAATTTTTTTTGCTTGGGGCAGCAAAAAACCTAGAGCCGGCCCTGCAGCTGGCAAAAGGTTCACAACTCCGTGTCAGCAACTCCTAATAAGCCTGACAAACTCTTCACCGAAGACACTGCTTTTATGGTACTTATCCATAAATAGGTCTTGTAAGGTAGCAGATAAAAGCTGGTGTCACACTGGTCATTATCATTGTGAAAAGTATGTACTAATGATATTTAAAAAGTTGTGTATATCTTGATAATATATCCTGAGCCTCTGTATCAAGTATGAGTCACCTGCAGAGAGGTTTTTTTCTCAGATCAGGAATGTTTGTCCATCTAGCTAACTGGCATATAAATTAAGCATTTAATGTTTCACAATGGGCCTCTGAGTTTGAACTGAATGCTGATAAAGAACACAGACATGTGAAGTCAACATGAAGTCAGCCAGCACCAGAGAATAAACATTGAGGCTTTACTGACTGCAGGAGAAAACAAGGACTTTGGGGGAATGTAAGGGGAAGGCAAAAGGATACATCCTTATTCACTACTGGGGGAGCAAAAAGGACAGTGCTTTTTGCATCCATGAATGGTGGATCCCAGCCTGGTGGGTGCTTGGAGTTTGCTTTAGATGAGAAACTACTTCAGACAAGAATTTTAGCCTCTTAAAGTTAAGTTTGGGCTCTAAGAAGCATGTAATGCTTTTGTTTTATATGTAATCATTTCTGTTTCCACTTGTTATCCTTGTTCACTATCTCATAAACTTAACCTTTGATAATAAACTTATGATTGTTTCACTATAAATATATTTCAGTGCTGTAATGTTATAAAGGACCCGATCCTAGGTTGTGCCTGTCAAACTTTGTGTACACTGTCTCTCTGGGGATAACGGACCTGGAAATTCTGTGATTGCCTAGAGACAGGGGCCAGACATTACAGGGGGATGCTTTAGAGGAGCTTGGAGACCAGGGTACACCAAGTGTCATCCTGCAAGGTAAAGTAAAGGCTGGCAGAGCCCTGAGGAGATTGTTTGAATGGCTAACAGACTGAGGGTATCGTGGAGCTGACATCCAGTTTAGCACCAGCAAGTCTCTCTCTACTTGAGGGAGTAGGTTACCACCATGACTCAGAATCCTGGGCACCCTGAGAAAATGTGTCACCATGGTGGAGAGGAGATTGGGGAACCCTGGTATGGAGGGGAAAGGGGCAAATGAAGGGCATGAGGGAAGTGGGAATGGGGATACAATCAGAGCTATTGGTGTGTGGGGAAAAATGGGGGACCCTAGTGTGGGAGAAGGGGGGAATGGGAGGCACACTGAACTCTTGGCAGAGAGAAGTTGCAGGGAGTCCCTGAAGTAGAGTGGGATGGGAAAGTGGCACCCAGGTAATTCATGGGGGAGGGGAATGGAGGAATGCAAGGAGCCCCTGCTGTGCAGTAAGCTCAGCCTACACAAGCTACAGAGTGTGCGACCCCCTAGTTTAATGAAGCCAGCTAATTTGTATGTGGCATGCTGACTTTACAAGATATATGGTAGTACAGATACAAATCTTAGTTAAACCCTTTATAACTATATTTAAAACAATACTGCATCAAAACCCAATAATTATTCTGATCCATATGGTTATGCTGGTATTACGATCATCAATAAAAACTGTTACTTTTTTAAACACGTGAACATAATGTAGTCCTGAACATAAGGTGATCTCTATCAGTAATGAACATTTTAAGTTTCCTTTGGTTACAAGTATGGTTTGTTACAGGCTGAGTCAAATTAAGCCAAGATCATCTTGAAATGTTACATTCTTGAATGTTTGTATTTTCAGGGTTTGCCAGGGCTAGAAGGTCCTCCAGGTCCACCAGGGAAAGAAGGTCAGAGGGTGAGTAAACTTTGTGAACAACTGGCAAGTGTGTGAACTGACGTTAATGTGTTCTTGCTGAGCACCAATAAAAATAAGACAAAGATAGCAGCTGAGTATGAAGCAGTCTCCTCAAACTGAGCTTTGAAATTTGAGTTTTGTCTTAGTTTGTTTAACAGTTAAAGCTCATTCAATCTTAAATGTTTTAATGACTGGCAGCACAGATGCAGAATTGTAGTTTGCGTAAAGTGCATCTGGTGTAATTTAAACTGGAAAAAATAATAAAAATTGATCTCAACTTTCAGTTCTGTTGTAGGAATGGAAGATATCCTAGTGTACATATCATACGTCAGGACGTGATTTTTATGCCAAGTATTATACTGCTCAAAGCTAGGGCCAATGGTCAGGTTTTATTATAGTTTTGATATGTGCATGTCATAGTTGATAATATCTATACAAGGAATGGATAATAGTTAGGAAGAAATAAGAAGCAACCAAGACGTGCTCAAAACTTGAAATGAATCTAGATCCATTTGTGAAATTTAAAAATGTTGGGTTAACTGGGTTTTTTTTACTCATTTTCTTGTGCCTCTGCATTTCTTGACTTCCTCTTGTACCAGCAGAAGTAGTAAAATACAAAGACAGATGCTGATCTCATAGTATTTATGAGCCATCCTGAACTGGAAAGTATTGGAAAACCAATTCTAGACCAAAGTTTGGATAAACATCTTAACTTTAAAGATATTTATCTCAAAGTCAGATTTCTTAGCAAACAAAACTAGTGTGCCTTTCTGAACTTTGTTCATGCAGAATTAATTTTGGCCCAGTCCTACAGGGCATTGAGGCACTCATTTTTCAGAGAAGTTAAAGGGAATCAAGGTGTTGAATACCATACATTATTGGGTCTGTAGAGGAGTGCGGACTCACCCAGCGGGGCCTCCTGCTGGTGACTTCCGGGAATTAGCTCGTTCCAGCTCCAGAGCACACTCTGCAGGCCGATGGTCCACCTGTCCTCTGGCCCCCGTGTCCCACCCTGGACCCCAGGGCCCTTTTACCTGGGGTGCTGCCCCCTGGCAGTAACCCCTCAGTCTTAGGGTCTCCCCTCCCCAGGGAACCCCCACCCACTATCCCCACTTCACCTCAGTCTTGGCTACTGCCCAGTCTCCATCTAGCCCCCGCTCACTGAGGCAGACTGCAGTATCGGCCACTCATCACAGGCAAAGGGGTTCAGAACTGCTGCCTCTGCCTACCCATGGGCTGCCCCCTGCAACCCAGTACCTAATAGGCTTTACCAGGCCTGCAGCCTGGGGCTTTCCTAGACCAGAGCTCCCCAGCTCCCTTGGCCTTTCCCCAGCCCTGCTCCACTCTAGGCACTTAGTTAAGCTCCCTACAGCCAGGCCCTTCTCTCTCTGAACACAGAGAGAGACTGCCTGCTTGAGCTCCTGGCTCAAGCCTTTATAGGGCCAGCTGGGCCCTGATTGGGGCATGGCCCCAGCTGACCCTGCTTCCTCCCAATCAGCCCAGGCATCTTGCCGTTCCACAGCCCTCCTCCAGGGCTGTTTTAAACCCCTCCGGGCAGGAGTGGGTAACCACCCTGCTACAGGGTCCTTTGTGTACAACCTTTCATGAAAGGCATAATGGTGATTGCTAAAGATATGATCCTGCAGCCTTGACACAAAGGAGTCAGGGCCGGCTCCAGGCACCAGCTTCTCAAGCAGGTGCTTGGGGCGGCCGTTCCGGACAGGGGCGGCAGTTCCAGGTATTCGGCGGCAATTCGGCGGACGGTCCCTCACTCCGCCTGGGAGTGAAGGACCTCCCGCCGAATTGCCGCCGCCAGAACGTGATCGCGGCTTTTTTTTTTGGTTTTGGCTGCTTGGGGCGGCCAAAACCCTGGAGCCGGCCCTGAAAGGAGTATTTCTTTTCAGGAAAGCAGTCCCATTTACTTCAGTGGAACTATCCACAGGCCTGATCCTGGTACACAGTGATGAGTGTGGGAATGTTCTAACTCTTACTGTTATGCAGTTAAATATGTGAGAAATGGAAAAAGTCTTGCTTGTCCATTTTTTTTACATGCTCTAAATAGGAAGTTTTTCTGTGGAGTCTCAGGTCTGCAAAACAGCCAGAATACTAACACTTATTTGTCCCTTATATTCAATAATGTGAAAGGCAGACATTGGTGATTATCTGAAGTTTTAAAATGTAGTTATTTTGTGGTGCTGCTTTTAGGCTAGGACTGTAACATTATGTCCACTGCTAGAAAAATGAATTGTAGTCAGGGCCGGCTCCAGGCACCAGCTTAACAAGCAGGTGCTTGGGGCGGCCAAGGGAGAGGGGCGGCACCTGCAGCAATTCGGGGGCGGCAGGTCCCTCACTCCCTCTAGGAGCAAAGGACCTGCCGCTGAACTGCCGCCGCCGCTGCCGATCGCGGCTTTTTTTTTTTTTTTTTTTCCCCAATTGCCGCCGCCGGTCGCGGGGGCGGTTTTTTTTTTTTTTTTTTTGCTTGGGGCGGCAGAAACGCTGGAGCCGGCCCTGATTGTAGCTGTATTCTTTTTGTTAAGCAGGGAAATTTAGTGAGAAGATAGATTTCCCTTAGCCACTTATATTTCATACATAACATTAAGCTGGTGTCTTTTCCAGTTAGTAGTATACAGACAATACAGTATAAACAGAAGTGCTTCTTCCCCTACTATCACAGCCATGCAGACAACTGTCTCCAGCCAAACAGCAGCAACAACAGAGGTTTGGACTACGCCCTCTCTCATGCGCTTCATATTATTGTAGAGTGAATGGCAATTCTTTCTTGCCCTGCACCAACCAGTATAATAATAATAATTAATTAATAATCATGCATCATCATGGTAGCTTAATTTAAATAAATTAAAAATCTGGAAACGCAGACGTTAAGGTTTTTACAGCCACAATAACTCAGGCCTTATCAACACTGAGATTTTTAGCCACTGTTATAGTTACACTAATGTGGGTGCATCATTGTGGGTGCATGTAGTATTAGATATGGTGTACTGGTATAAATCAGCAGTTGCAAATCTGCGGTCTGCACCAATGCAGCTACACCAGCATAGCTACCTGGATGCTAAAAAAAACAGTGCATAGAAGACCTCGGTCAGGTTGCACATCCTCTATATATGGTATTACATACTGACAAACAAACAAAAATTATGTTAAAAGGATGTTAAGATTGCAAAATCAAATGCTCAAGAGTTACAAAATGATGGAATGAAGGTTGTGCATGCAACCTTACTCCATCCTCTTCCTGCATATGGATTTTTGATGCACTTTTTAATTATTGTGTCACATACTATTTTTAATGAGACATCTGCCTCTTTCAGTGCACAAGAAGGACAAAGCAGTGGTTATTCAATATTTCTTTTTATTTCATCACTCATTATGTGACCCTGTGCTTCATTTATTACAAACCATCGAAACCTTGCACTTAATACAGAATTATTTATTTCCTCATGAGTTTTCCTCTGGAGCTCAGAACCATACTATAAGGTCTTGTCTACACTACAGAGTTTTGTTGACAAAAATCAGCTGTTGTCGACAAAACAGTGAAGGTGTACACACTACAATGCTCCTGCTGCCAACAAAACTCTCCTGCTTTTCCAACAAAATAAAACCACCTAGACAAGATGCTAAGTTATATCGACAGAGTGTCAGTGTAGACACTGTGCTTGGTTATGTGACTGTAAAATGGCCTCCAGGAGATGTCCCACAATGCCCATTCTGATTGCTGTGGTTTGAACTCCACTGCTCTGCACCCAGGTACACAGGCATTGACCCCTCCCCCCCCCCTTTAAAGGCCATTTCCTGATTGCTTGGCACGGAGACCTGACATCACATTTTCCCAGCTGACCATGGTGGCTCCACACAGCAAACGCTCTCCCGCTTGGAATACAAGTGAGTTGTTGGATCTGTGGGGAGAAGAGGCTGGGCAGTCCCAGGTCTGCTCCAGCTGTAGGAACTTTGATAGCTATGGACAGATTTCTTGTAGCATCTTGGATAAGGGCTACAAACGGGACATGCATCAGTGTCATGCGAATCTAAAGGAGCTGAGGCTGGTATACCAGAAAGCAAGGGAGCAAACCATGGCTCTGGTGCTACACCAAAGTCCTGCTGCTTCTACAAGGAGCTGGACGCCATCCTTGGTGGCGACCCCACCTCCACTGCCAAGAGCCCTGCTGATGCTTCAGTGGGACTGGAGACAGCGGACTCAACCCCGAGGACAAAGTGGTGGATGAGGAAGTCAAGCTGGAGGATGAGATGGGACAGGCAACAGGGTTGTCCGGTGCCATGGCGAGCCAGGACCTCTTCTTGACCCAGGAGTATTCAAGCCAGTCCCAGAAGTCATGATGCAGGAGAGGGAAGCTTTGGTAAGTGATCTTTTTGAGTTGATGCTGCTCAGTTACATGAGGTAGAGCTGTCCTTTGCTTTGTTATACTCTAGAAGTGGGCGAAGACATAGAAATGTAGACGACTAGCTGTGTTTGCATCTGTGTCTGCTTCGCATTCCCCTATGCAGCTACGCAGTAGGGGCCCTGTGGAAAAGTGTGTTAATGGACACCGAGATTTCACAGAAATCCTCCAGAGATGTCTCTAGGAAACTTTCCTGGAGGTACTTGCCAATTCTCTGGCAAAGGTTCCTTGGCAGAGCTGCTTTGTTCCTTCCCCCATTGTAGGAAACTTTTCCATGGCAATAGGCAATCATTTGTGCAGGGACCAAAGCGGCGCATAGACATGCAGCATAGGGACCTGGTCTGATGCCACACGCATACAGGAGTCCACCCTTACATCCTTCCTTACCCTCAGGGGTGAGATATCAGCTTCAATGACCCCATGGAAAATGGTGGCAGAATTTACAATTTTGCTCTAGTTGCTTGCAGTGATCCCCTTAGAAAGCTACTTAGACCTTTTGACCCATCTTGAGTGACCCTCCGGCCCTGTCCTGAACTCACCATGTTTGGGTTGTTCGTTGAGCTGTGTGCTTGACAAAAGAGAATGAGA